AAAGAGAAATATCCAACGAGGCGTTCTGGGGCAGCATAGACAGGTCTTTTCTGTGTTAGAGTTTTACTCGCTACAGGGTGTACTTTGAGGGTTTGTGTCTTTGCTGACCGTTTACATGCATAAAAAGCTTCATAACACACAAGGGGACAAGTAATAACCGGAAAAGCATGACATGGGACCTTTAAATTCTACTTCTGTGTTATTTGGTTCCTGCTTGGTGTTCCCATCTGACGCTCCTACTGGCTTCAGATCCTCTGCCCTGCCTCGACCTACGTTCTGCCAGGTTGTCTGCTTGGACTGAGCTTACCACTGTTGTTTAGCTGCCCTGTCCTGTGCCTGCTGAGATTTGGCATTAATAATCATTACCCACTGTTTCTGGTTTCCTGTGTGCTGCATTTGTGTTCAAACACTGTGTTTTGAGCAACACAAGTGCCATAAGGTTCCATTACATCGGAGAGCAGGCAGACATCTTTACAGTCTGCGACTCACAGAGGAAGGGAAGAGGAACAATCATTATTTTTGTGAACTGTCAATAAAAAATATGAACTATGAATCAAATATTTTGCCAATCAGCAATATAAGGGTTTCAAATCATATGATATTTAGTTTGAACGTGTCACACATGCATGTCTTTAGTAGAGGAACTTACTGTCTCCTGGACCCTGCAGACTCTTAGTCCGTATACCATCTCTCTTCCTCTGTCAGAAATGTTAACGCCACCCTAAGGCACCAAATGCTCAGCTAACAGAGCGTACAACACGTGTGGAGCACCAGTTAGCGTCAGGGTGGTTGATCTTGGTAAAGAGAGGAAATGACCTTGAATGGTGGAGCATTGAAGCGCTTTGTAATCATAACCTTTGGCTATGTACAGCCTACATATGCTCCAGCGCTCTCCTGAGACAGCGGAGCTGGAGAATTTCTATAAGGGGGTCAGGAAGTGGAATTGACCCATTCCTGCATATTGTGGCTGTCATTTGAAAACCTTGTAATGATCTCATTTTAATCTTTAATTAAATTGAATGACGGAATTATCCTTCTTTTTGTCGAAGAAAAAGCCTTAAATTAATATTCTAAACTTATTTTGTACATCTGACAGTATTGTTGATTTGTTAGCTCCTGGAAAGTTGCCAGTTTGGAGATACGAGCTCTTCCCTGAGAACTGGCTGTAAAGGATTGGACATGGTGGTGATTGAATATCAAAGTTTCTTCCAGCTGCAGGATGCTCCTCTGGAAATGGGCCAGATTTGAAAAGGCTAATTTCACAGGAGGGGAATCCCTTTTTCTGGATTTGAGCCGTTCTTTTGTTACAATAATATTGTTTGAAAGCATACTGTAGCGATAATTACGTTGAATACGTTTGCAGGACGGTTAATCCAGTAATTAATACAACCTTTCTTTGACTAGAGATCCTGTTTGGTTAAGTGCTGTTGATCACACTGAGATAATGTCATATGAATTACTGGGAATTTGTGGGGCTGAGCTAAATAGTGCTTTTTCTATTTTAATCCTATTTTACACTATTTAAGGAATGGGTTGACCTTTTGGGCAATGTGCTTTTTTTGCGTTCTTGCTGAATGTTGGACTGGAATATCAATTACCACTCTTGTTTCAGTTCTTACAGCTTAGCTTAGCATAAAGACTGGACATCAGCTATCATGGCTCTGTAGACATGCAGAAAAAGTCTGTATACAAACACCTATTTCTGTACGGATTAAAACGATGGAATACGACATACAGTATGACTTCAGACAGATCAAGGCTATTTGCCAAGCTAAACTCACTAGCTGCAGACCGTGGCCTAATATTGGCCGTAAAGATATGGAGATTGCAATCAAGTCTCTTTCTGCAAGAAGGTAAATATGTGTATTTTCACAAACCTAGGACAGAAAAATGTTCACCAGAATTTCAAACTGCAATCAGACCTTGAATAAATAAACCATCAAAATCCGAAATAACCTTAAAAAATAGGTTATTAGCTACAGGGCTCCTGCTGAACTTTGACCTGCCAAAGAAGAGCCTGAACACAAACTTTACATTGAGCAATCAATAACGCATAAATACTCACTTTAGAGAAATAAGCTTATCATGTCACCATTGTTCCCTTGAAACCCTTTAAGGTTATTAACAAATGATTTTAAAGTGGTTAGTACGGACAGGGCCGTATCCAGGATTTCCTAAATACCGAGGTCCAAACATGTTAGGGTGGTTCGGGGGTATACCCCCCGAGATTTTCAAGATCTAGTTAGGTGCTTTTTAAGTCCTGTGGGGGGTCACACATTGGATAATATATTGATTTCAAACCATGTCAGTGGGCAGCAGCATCAATTATTTTTGAAAGTGTAATGCATAAGAATCAGTTGATTGTTACTATTAATGATCTGGACATGCAGAAGAGGCTAAAATGATCACAAGACATTGTCAACATTCATTTTCCATTTCTCTCTCCTTTCCATAACCTGCAGCCTCTCTTCCATCTTCTTTAGTCCCTCTGTCTTCTTCCTGTTCATTACTCTCTCTGTCCTCTACTCTTTCTCTTTGTTCAATCTCCCCCTCGTTGTTCACTTTTTGCTTCTCCTCACTTGTCGCTCCTGCCAGTGGATTAAAAGAAATTCAGCAATTTAGTTCATTTCACTTGTTTGTTTGCATTCTTTTAAAAAAAAATTTAAATCTGTTTTGTTTGATTTTCAAAAGAGAACAAAGATGTAAGCAAATTGTGTTTTATACAATTGTATGTTATTATGACATCATAACCGCAATAGATGTATGTTGTTTTAAAATTATGCCTATTGTCTATATTGTAAATGAAGACTATTGTTATATAGATAGATAGATAGATAGATAGATAGATAGATAGATAGATAGATAGATAGATAGATAGATAGATAGATAGATAGATAGATAGATAGATAGATATAGATACATATGGATGGATGGATGGATGGATATATAGATCTAGATAGATAGGTGGATGGATGGATAGATAGATAGATGGATACGGCCCTGCTCACAGCAGAATACTATTGCTGGTATTTATGGTTTATGACCCTCTTAACTCATTGCATTAACAACGTGACAAATTCATGACTTCACCATTAAAAAAAACACTCCCCAGCAAGAAAGACCTCCGGCTACCCAAAAGTTGCTCGTAATAATGACTTACAGCTCATAAAGAATTTATGAACCATCAATCAAACAATTAGTGCTCATAACTTCCCTGTGTGTTATGAGGAGGTGGTACAGTAATGTGAAATATCTCGCAGTGCAGTGTGCCGCCTGACTCATGTGATTAGTGAGCGTGTACCGGGAGCTGCTGGCTCGGCAATCATGAGGCGGTGTGCTGAAGCCCGGTCCGTGGGAGGGGTCTGCCACAGCTTCCCCTCTGATTGACCAGGGAGCAGAAGCAGCCGGGGATGTGAGCAGCCACAGACGGGGAAAGAGGTACTCAGCAGACCGCATGTTGTTACTTAATAAACGACTATAGGCACACAATATGGTTGGAATTGGATTCATTAGCCTGTCGCATGGTTGCTAAGTGTTTTGGAGCAGCGATTGGAGAGGCAAACATAAGCGGAGCAGCGGAAATTATATTATGGCACTGTCTGTGTATTGTCTTGGGAGTGATTTAATACTTGCTCAGCTGTACTTTAAAATGCTTGCGATGCATGCAGGAGAAATTATGCCTGTGCAAATACTTCAGATGCAGGAATAAAGTAGCTTGCAGCGACAAACCTTGCAAAAGAAAAGTCATTTCAGGTAGTTTTAACATCTTTTTGTGTGCGTGTTTCACTGACAGAGACGGATGCATGGGCTTTGCAAAACGGGAAACCCAGCCCCGTGCTCAAATGGCTGATCTCGAACTGTTTTACTGTCACCAGCCCGATCTGAAAGACAACTCCCCGGGTTTAAATCAGCAAAGTGTCAACAAGGCGCTTCAGGATTCAGCGCCATGGACAGAGAACTGGAGAGGCGCGCGTTCGGAGGAGGAAGCAGAGACATGTTTCACCTGCAAACAGCGAGCTGAGGATGATGATGTCAACTTGATAGGGACAAGTCCACAAAACTGCACACTGAGTCAGGGCTCCTCGAGTGAACTGTACGAGGAGGATTTGGTGGAGGAAGATGAGGAGGAGGACATCACGGAACTTTACTTGCTGTCCGACGAAGACCTCTCCTCTGAGGCTTCGGGGAAGTCTGTGGATTACGGCTTCATCATCGCGGTGACATGCCTGTTGACCGGTATCTCTTTGGTCGCCATATCCTACACGGTCCCCAGGGATGTGCGCGCCGACCCGGACAGTGTTTCCGCCCGGGAGATGGAGCGGCTGGAGCGGGAGAAAGCCAGGGTGGGGGCCCATCTGGACCGCTGTGTCATGGCGGGGCTGAGCCTGCTCACCCTGGGGGGCGTGCTGCTCTCCACCCTGCTCATGATCTCCATGTGGAAAGGGGAGATGATGAGGAGGAAAGCCTTTGCGTATTCCAAACACGCTGCAAAGTTGTACGGATCCATTAATCTGAGAGCTGGCTCGGAATCCTGCTCACATGTGTCAGGAACTGAGGAGGATTTAGAAGTGCTCAGCTGAATGCGTGGACAGAACAAGAGGGAAGACTCAGAAAAAGTATTTAGGAAATCCTACTAGTGCTGTACTGGTATCGGGGATGTAGTGGGGGGTCCATGCACGCCCTTTTTTATTTCATTTCTAACCGCTACGTTTTGTTGGTATGGAAATGTTTAAAGGTCATGTTTTCATTTTTTCAAGACGGTCTTATTTCATTCATCACATGCCTTTATGTACACTGACAGAGTTAATGTTAGTCTGTTATTCTGTCCATGCCGGCCCTGAACAGATCAGTTCTTAGCCAAGCACACAAAAAAAAGTAAAGTTGAAATAAGGGTTTGAAGGAGCTCAGTAAACATACCAAAACAGACCTGTAGTATATAACAATATTTGGGACTTTGCTGGGGGTGTGGCATTATATTCATGTGAGATTAGATATTGTCTTAGACTTTGGATATCATAGTAGGATATATGTATTATCTTACCCAGGCTTTAAGACTGCAAAACAGTAACGTGATGTAATTTTTCTGAAGTTACCTGTTCTTGCTCTTAAATTATGTTTGCTTTGCCCACAGTCATTATATTCACAATAGGCCTACTGTGATTATTTTATAAAATTCTCATTGAGTAAGTTGTTTGTGTAGGCAGCCCTACAATATCGTGGTAATATCGATATTGGTTTATTTGAAGGACACGGGTTGAATCTGGCCTTGAGCTGCCTTCAAATGACCAAACAGCTCGGCGCTGACTACATCTGTTTCCGCGTTCGTTTATGACGGATGTATTTTGTTATACACACATTCATTCACATTTAAATAAAAATGTACATTAAAGTATTTCGTGAGGCCTTCTAACATGTTTTTAAATATTACTACGGTTGTAGTTGAAGAGTTTGTAAATTAACATGAACCGAAGCTGTTGCCTGGCAACGCAATCGCAAAACGTCACGTCCGTTAGTTCCACACCCACACGCATGGATTAACATTGATTTAATACATTAATGTAGCCTTTGTTTCTGCTAAAAGAGGTGTCGACCAGCTGGGGCAACAAGAAAATCGGCGTAATCGAGTGTGACTATTACAAAATAAATCATTATTATATTAATATTGACAATAACAACCGACCGTCGGGGTAGCATTTGCTTGGCATTTCCGGTTATTTCTCCACTGGTTAACATGGGTTAGTAATACCGTGTAACTGTCACGTTTGAAGGGACGAAATCGTGACATCTTCACGTCGCATGGTAAATCATCACATGTTCACGTCTTGAATACCGGGTTGTTTACCCAGGCTTTAAGACTGCAAAACAGTAACGTGATGTAATTTTTCTGAAGTTACCTGTTCTTGCTCTTAAATTATGTTTGCTTTGCCCACAGTCATTATATTCACAATACTGTGATTATTTTATAAAATTCTCATTGAGTAAGTTGTTTGTGTAGGCAGCCCTACAATATCGTGGCAATATCGATATTGGTTTATTTGAAGGACACGGGTTGAATCTGGCCTTGAGCTGCCTTCAAATTACCAGAATTCAAACAGCTCAGCGCTGACGCTGTGTTTCAATGGAGAGAGCGGAATGGTGCTGCTCTCAAAGTTCAAATTACTTCAACTTTGACCTCGTTAACCGCTGACCTTTCGTCGCGCAACCAATCAGAGGACAGCTGTATGAAGCGGCGCAAGCTAGCAGGGGAGGTGACCATCGAAACAAATCTTAACTAGCTGTTATCACCGCAAGGCCCAGCGCCCAACCCTTCAGTGAACCAGGGAAAATAAGTGTTAGTGATGTGAAGAGGGGATCTTTCAGTCATTTTAGTAACCTTTATTTAAATCACATTGACTAACCCATATAACGTAAGCCTAAAATGAATTTCAGATAATCTTAGTAATTATTTACACAGAAATATGCATCATAATACACCTCTTCACATCCATCATGGACATCAGCAACAATAACAGCAACCAATAACTCTTTCAAGTGCATAACAGTATTTTACTTCTTTTTTTTTTTTAAAGGTACAACATTAAATTTGCTTTCCTGAAATCCTGTTCAGTGTTGGACAGTGGTTTGCCTTATGATGATCTCTGACCCTCCTTGATGTTGAACAATGCATTGCTACTTCTTCTGATGCCCCCATTCCAGTGGATGTACATGCCGATGCAGACTCTTATGATTGCAGGCCTGTGTGTACCACATGTAGATGCAAGGGAAATAAATACTGAACCAGCAGCGATGTCACTGCTTCTGCCTTCCTTTTCAACAGATGTGAGAAAAACAATTGCATGAATCCGTGTTCATTCCCGAAGACATTCTGTTTAATACAAATGTGACATGCTGGAGAGATGCTTGTGTTTGCTTGCTGAAGCGCAAATAGTACTACCACAGGAGGTGTAATTCGATTTTGTGGTTGAGCGCCGATGTCGGAGGAAGCAAAGTTTACGCCGAATACACTCAGGGCTTTTGACTGCAGATGTTCAAAAGCAGAAAGAGTCAACAAACCCCGGGGGAAGAGCTCTCCTGGTAATTGGCGTTGGGCTTAATTGCTCGTGGGAGGCCTGTGAATCAGTGGGAAAAAGAAATCCCAGAGCATTTTAACAACTGCCTCAATCAAGCTCGCTTAGCACGCTTATTAAAAACCAAAGCTGCAAAACTGGAGGGAAATGTTACATCGCATTCAAGGCAGTAGGAAGTAATGGATGGCCTGCTCTGACAGAAGATGCTGTGAATGCTCAGAGTGTGCAGAAAGCAGTGCTGTGCCTCTGTAATTGGGAGTGCTTACGGCCAGCAGGATCACATTATCCTCCACACAACCTTCGCTCTCTCTCGCCTCGTTAATGTAATTAAAAAAGGCAGAATAAGCTGACCTTTAATTAAATATGAAGTTGATTCCTAATACTAGTATGTCTTGTTTTCATCACAGGTGTCTGGTGCTATGAGAGGGAAAGTTAGTTTGTGCTCACATTTTGAATCACACTCATCTGCTTCAGTGATTTCTTACATGTCCCATATTGACTTTTCGACAGGCATCAGAGAGAACAGCTGCGAGCTTCTTGTTGCGTAAAGTACGTGGGATAGGAGAGCGTGGTATAGCATAGCAAAAGCAACAGAGTGATGAATATGAACATGAAAGTCAGCCTTGTGATTTAAAACACAATCTGCAATGCACTCTGGTCTGTTAAGTCTGTGCAGAGGCCAGTCTTTCAAACTGTTGCTCATAAGTCTCCCACTAGATTCATTCAAAATTATTCAGTAGAAACAACTCTGACATCAACACTTGACATTTACCGCTAAGGACTTAGATAATCAGATATTTATCTGTAACCATGCTCGAAATGTCTTATTCTGTCATCACATTGTTACTGGGAATTACAGTGGACATAAGAGCCCTTGAAATGAAATGAGGACTTTTCAACAACATAACCCTCAAAGGTCTAATCGTCTATTTAAGTAACTAAACATTATGTGTGGTTGTAGTCTATCTCACTTTATTGTGCTGAAACTATTTTGAAAGTAAAAAAATGAAATATTTTAATCTTAACCCAAAAACTTGTTTTCAAATGAGTCAAAACTCAGCCAATCTGCCATCTGACATTCATTTTTCCATCAATATGTGTGTGTATAAGATATCTTCTACATTCCCAGCATGTCACTATGACCTAGATTTAAAGGGGCCCTATTCTGCACATTTTCAGGATCACATTCAGCTCCTCTCCTGGGACATGTCTCCATGCTCTAATGTTCAAAAAGCCCTTTACTTCTCTCATACTGCCTGTGCTGCAGCACCTCTTTTCACCCTCTGTCTGACACCAGAGCCCAGTCTACTCTGATTGGTTAGCTGGCCGGCTCTGTTGTGATTGGTCAACCTATTGAAGATGTCCCGCCCCTTAGCATATCACGTACAATGTGTTTGAGCACTAGCCAATAGAAGCGCGAGTGTTACATAGTGATGTTACTCTGCAGACTATTTAAATGAACAAAAACCCAAAGAAGACACGACTACAGGAAAGGGAAAACCCCAAGAAGCAATATAGGGCCTATTTAAGATACTATTACTATTATTAATTAAGCATCTTTGAGTTAGAGAAAAGCACTATAGAAATATCATTTATTATTATTATTATTACTACTATAACGCTAGCATTATTAAAAAGAGCTAAACTCAGATTTGAGTAGTGTTTATTCTATTGTCATGAAACAGGAAGTCACTGTAATGTGGCTCACAACTTAAATATAGAACAGATTTGGAAAAATAACAAAGAAAAGAAACTCAACAGCCTACGGGTTGTAAAAGTAGACGGTTTATTTATATCAGAATACATGGACAAATATAAGTGTTTCACAGTGAGCCGTATGTAGCTTAGAATAATCTGCTCATTTAGTCATGTTAGGTTGAAAGAATAATGTTATAAGCATTATGAATGAAGGTGTTGCATTTATCTTTGGGGCAATGCTATTTAAAATCTTGTTAGTTTATGTTTACACTAAACATAGATTTGAAACAAGTTGCTATTCAATTTGCTGATAATCTTATCTATTTTTTTGCAGCTGGCACTACATTTGTGCAAACATTTTTCAAAAGAAGTAAGAACTGGTTTGTGTAATGCAAATTGTTCTAAGTGTAAATCACCATTTAATACTACTGTCATTTCTTAAATGAGGTTAAGAGCTGGTGCTAACTGGTGTGTTTGTATTGTGTGATCAAGGCTTGATTATCAATAGTGTTTCCATGGCAATGCATTCAAACAAACAATTCAACAGCTGCTGTCAGAATATAATTCTTTCTTATGTTGTTCAATTAAAAGCACACACAGTGCTCTCTCATGTGGAATAAGTCTGAGTCTAACTTTAACTAACAATGTCTTAATTCATATATACATTATACATGCGATTAAGACACATTAAAATACATTGAAGTGAACTTGACTTTAAGAATGCATTAAGATGCACTTAAATAAGTATCTCTTTTATTAAGCTGTTCTTCCAGTATATTCAACTCACTTTTAGAATACTGCAGCTATTTTATACG